ATGCCAGGAGCCCCTAGTAGCTTCGTGTTTCTAGTAGTAAGGCCAGGAGCCCCTAGTAGCGTCCTTGCTCATAGTAGCGATGCCCTTTTTGGTGTTACAAATCTCCTTCAGGTTCCAAGTCCAACGGACTCTCACCGTTTGCGCCCAAAACCTACCAAGCCTTGCTCAAACATGCCGTCTCAGCGACACCAAACGCAGGTCTACCGAGTCCGAGTCTATGTTGAGGTCATGTGACCGAGTCTCCCAAGCCCAGCTCTGCTCTCCTTTGTGGCCTTCCAGGACACGAGCTCTGCTCTCTTTGGTCCTTCGTTCGGCGCCATTTCCTCGGACCGGAACGAGGCGAAGCGGGCGAAGCCGGCGGCAGGGCGGCAGGGCGGCAGGGCGGCAGTGGGAGAACGAGCTGAAATCACAATGACGGCTTAGCTAATGATGTGTTCTGGAGAACCGTTGAGAGTGCTCCAACACATGAAACGTTGATTAGATAGGACAGTTCAAGGTAGATGCAGGCATATGCAGGCAAAGGGATGCAGAAAGGTTGAAGGTCCTCAGATCTTGATGGCTTCCATTGATCTCCCAATTTCCATCATGAAAACGGCGGCCCGAACCCCTCGCACCCCTTCCACCACCAGGTATCGGTCGGAGTCCCAGGCCAAGATCTTCCCATCGCTGAGCCCGGCGAAGAGCAAGCCTCGTTGGGGCAGTACCAAGCAGCAGCTCGCGCTCACGCCCTGCACTGATCGCCTGCCGTCCGTTCCTTTGGAGGCCTTGTTTCGGGGCAACCCTTTTGTTACGCTTCAAACATGAACACAAGTCAGTCATGTGCTGGGAAATACCTAAATAAAGCTAGCGTCCACTTCCGGAGGAAAGACCTCTGTAAGGGAGTCCTGCTACTCGCCAATGACGATGCTCAGAACCGTTTCCTTATGCATGGGTAGCGTGCCATGCATGTCAGCGGACTGTGGCAAGGAGTATGATGGAGTATGGCTTAGCGCATGGTTGGGTCTGGTCTGGTGTGTGAAACTCCAGTAATACTTCAGGAGGAGGAACGTGTTTTCTTTTTACCGGGTACCGGGTCTTACAACATCTATGTGGATCAGCCACCGTGGAAGTAAGAAGTCAAATTATCACAGAAGTCAAATTATCACTTGGTCCAATTCAAGAGGTCCAACAGAGAAGAAGAAAAAGTTCTTCATCCAAGGGAGGAGACTACAACTGCTCTTTCTTGACGCAAACCTGTTCATCAAAAGTTCAGTGTCTAGAAGGCGCAGAACAGGAGAATGATAACGCTTTGATTAGCAAATGACCGTCGGCATTTCCCCTGGCCGCCACATGAGCCAACGCCTGGTGCGTTGTGCTGAAAAGGGTGAAGCATAGGTACACACCTCGGCACGTCGCCCACCACGGAACGTCCACATCCGTTCTCCGAACCCGGCGATGCGTTCCCGGACAACGCCAGAGGTTCTGGTGTGGGGGTTCCTGCCACCTCGGCCTGGGGAAACAAAAAGGCCGATCGAAGCTGTCATCCCACTCAAGTGGGAGGAAATATGTGGGAAAAGGACACAAACCGAGCAAGAAAGCCAGCTTTCCATCACGAATCAGGCACCAAGAAGCAAACAAGTTAAAAGCGAGCAAAAGCGAGCAAAGGACGCTACTAGGGGCTCCTGGCCTTACTACTAGGAACAAGGACCCTACTGTCTGATCCAACGAGCCAAGTCCCAAGGAACGCAGTTCACATGCTGCCAGGTAGCGGGTCGGAACTCGATCGAGGTCATGGACACATGAGGCGCGTCCGAAGCAAAGCTCGAGGTCCCGCAACAGAAAGTCGTTCAAGTTTTGGAGTTGTGGGGTTGCTGGGGCAACTGAATGGCACTGCCCAAGTGAGAGACTCAGATAAATATGCAAAAAAAGCAAACAAGATCAAACAAGAGCAGTTCTCTTAGGTTGGAAGTGTTTCCAGGTGGGGCGCTGGCCCACATCCATCGGACAGAGAAAGATCTCTTTTTCATTCTTCCCACCAAGGAAAACACCTACCCTCAAGAGAAAAAACATTGAGAAATAGAACACAGCTGCTGGAGAAACCATAATGAGCAAGCTCTTGCAAGATCATGGCCACGTTTTGGAGAAACTGATTGAATCTCTTTGGCTTGCAGAAAAAATGGTGGCGGCCCTAATTAGGTGTCCAACTCGATCAAGCCTAATCGCTTGTTTTCTGGGTCCGAATGGGTGGGTGACTGTCGGTCCCCTCCTTGATCAAAATGGCGGCGACCGAAGCGCAGACCGAAGCGCGCACTTTGGCCATGATGGAACCCCCTTTTCGTCATACTGTACCACTACTTCACTTCGGGCGATCCTATCATGACACTTCTGATGACAACAGCATCCGCAACACGTTTTTGTCGTCCGAAGTGTGGCTGTCACGTGTAGCTGAGTTTCTCCATTGAACCGGTCACGTCACTGGTTGTTAAAGTGTGAGGTGTCAGACAAGGCTAAAGGAGCACAGACATGTCAGCAAACCATCCGCAATTCCGCAGCATGTGTCCTGCAAACATGACGGTCGCAAAAAAAGGATACAAAACATGCCGAAGGAAGGAAGGAAGGAAGGAAGGAAGGAAGGACGGAAGCAAAAGGACGGAAGCAAAAGGACGGAAGCAAAAGGAAGGAAGCAGAAGGAAGGAAGCAGAAGGAAGGAAGCAGAAGGAAGCAGAAAGAAGGAAGCAGAAGGAAGCAAACAGAAAGAAGGAAGCAGAAGGAAGCAGAAGGAAGGAGAAGGAAGGAGAAGGAAGGAGAAGGAAGGAGAAGGAAGGAGAAGGA